GAATTCTACCTCTGAAACTAATAATAAAGTATATGTTAATTAAGTTGAATTTAAATTAAAAAAAAATTTGAAAAAAGAATAGAAAACTTCCACTCTCTATCCCTCCTTCTTTTAATTTTCTCTGTAGTTTTATTTCCTCCCAGCATGCTATACATTTTATTTCTTTATTTTACCTATTGTTTGACTATGAAACTTTACGGGAGTGGGGTTTCTTGCCCATTTTCTTCCACACTGGATCTCCGTTACTCAGAAACAATGCCTGGCACATAGCGAACACTCGACAAATATTTGTGGAATGAATGAACTCGAGAAGAAGGCAATTCACTAACCGAAGAGTTACTTTTGATCAAATATTTTTTTGAGCTCTGCAGATTTCACACATACAATCTATAAGAAATGTGGTTGTAATGGTTTGTACTACTGCCACAAAGAATATTCCAGAAGGATGTGCAGGAGCATGGAAGGGGAAAGACTTTGAAGATACCTCATCCAGAAATGCAGACTTTAGGAAGGGTACCAATAAATGGAGGGAACTGAATCCACTGTTGGTGTATTGGTTTCCTGTGGTTGTTGTAACAAATCACCACAAATCGGTTGGCTTAAAAGAACAAAAATCCATTCTCTTGCAGTTTTGGAAGCCAGAAGTCTGAAATCAAGGAGTTGGCAGGGCCATACTCCTTCCAAAGGCTCCTGGGGAGAACTGGTTCCTTGCCTTTTCCAGCTGTGGTGGCTGCCAGCATTCTTTGACTTGGCCTGCACTCCTCCAGTTTCTGCCTCTGTGCTCACGATCCCTCCCCCTCTGTGTCAAATCTCTCACTGCTTCATTCTTATAAGGACACATGCCATTGGAATTAGGGCCCACTTGGAAAATCCAGGATGATCTCCTCATCACAAAATCCGTACCTCAATTACATCCTCAAAGGCCCTTTTTCCAAATAAGGTAATATTCATAGGTTCAGGGAATTAGGATGTGGATATTATCTTTTGGGGGACCACCATTCAACCCACTAGAGCTCTGATAAAAAATTGGGAGTTTGCTTTGATTCCACAATGACAGTTCTTGATTGCACTGTCCAGCTGCCAACATGGGGTGCTTTCTGAGGAATGTGGGTCTTTGTCATCAGATAACTAAGCCCTTTTGTGTTTCCGTAAGGACTCAGACTAATCCATGTGGTAAAGTTGCAAACAGTTACTTATTATAGTAAAGATCTTTGCTCAGGAAGCCATGCATTGAAAGCAAGATCAAACATTTTCTTTAAACAAGAGAGTCATCTTTGGGTCAGGCTTTCAATCCTGATTCTTCCCTCTCGTTTCTCATAATCTTATGATAGGAATTCTTATAATCTGGCTCAAGAGCTATCATGTGCTTTAATCCATGGCAAAGGAATACAGTGCACTTTGCACTCGAGCTTATAAAATGTCAGTGGTCATCAAGATCAACTTTTAAGTGATGTAGCACAAGGACATGCAAAGAAATCCAAGTTCAGAATTTCTGGCTGTTTTTCCTTGTGCCAGTCTCTACATCCTATGACCGCAGTTTCACCTTTTCTGACACTCAGGAAACTTGAGACTTCTAAATTAAATTTAATCTGTTTAAAGTATCATAATGGGCACTATTCAGGACCAAGTGTTCCACAATTTATTTAAATCTCCTATGTAACTCTCCATTTCCCTGAGTAAGTATAAACAAGTGTTCTATTGGAATTTTAAGGCCACACAATTTTATTACAGCCAGTTTCTTTTTTGCTGTTGGAAGTCTCAGTCCTTCCAATCCTAGGTCAATAAAATGTCGATTCAAAGGTCATATGCAAATGGCAAGCAATATCTACTAGGTGAATTCGTAAGTCTGAATTTATTTCATAAAAATTCAGTTATCAAAAACTAAGTTGCCATTTAAACTTTTTATTTTAGGGCTTTGCTTTCAAGAAAAAGAGACATATTATAACAAAAGGAACTGGTGGGATTTATTCAGCACCCTAATATTGAAGGTATGTCCTGAGGGCATTAGGATGACCCCACTCTTTTATAATGACCAGACCTTCATAGTGATGATTCTAAGGCACTGGAAGCCAAGGCCAAATCATCCAGTTAGAAACAAAAGCAGGGAAATTTTAAATGAGACTTGAGAGACAGAAAGGTCACTGCTGAACTTGTGGTTAACACTCTAATGAAATCTGATGTGACTGTCCATCATGTGGCAGGTAGTTTCGTGGGCCAGTGACAAAGCAGGACTGCCCTCACCTCCCATTCAGTTTGCTCCGAACGTGAGCATATGTTATATACTCTGAACATAGTGGAGGGTTCCACCTGCGGAAAACAGATTTGCTTCTAAAGTTTATGTCTGGGACTCCCAGTGTTACCTGTGTGAAATCTGGGCTAGAACATATGCTCTACATAGATATACTGATGCCAGTCTTTGGATAGATTTGATAATAATACATGCAGACTCACATTCAGTAGCTTCTCATGAGACTCTTAAATATTAAAAAAAAAAAACAACTATAACGTTGAGTTTCATTTAGACAGGGTACTTAATATGATACATAAAAAAAAAATGCATATAATGGGTTACTGGGCCTAAATTGTTTTTTTTATCATCCTGAACCATTGGATGGGGAATATTTTTATCTATCAAACAATCATTGGATGATTCTTACCAGTCCAGAATATCACTATTTTATAGAATAGCCTTCTAACTGGTTTCCTCGTTCCTCTTTCCAATTCAGTCACCACATCACAGAGAAATTCTACTAAAACACAAATTAGACCATGCATCTTCAATGGCTGCTATTGTCCTTCGAACAAAGCTCTAAGCTCTTGTTGCCTCTTGCAGTGATCTGCCAGTTCTGGCCCCATTTTCTTCCTCGGCCTCATTTCTTTCTTTTTTTTCAGTTTCTTTTATTTTTCTTCTTTTTTCCCCATCTCTTTCTATTGTAATAGACTTCCTTAATTTCCTCCAATGGTCCCCTTGCCTCTGGGCAGCCACACTTGCTGTTCCCTCTGACTGGAATCTCCTCTCGCAACTTCTAGAGTTCTCACTCCTACTCACCCACCTGTTATTGTCTTACACCTCACATCCTCGAAAAATGATGCCTGATGAAGCTAATATAATTTGTTGGTCCAGTGGTTATAAATCAAAGACCACTGACAGTACAAGCATTTAAAAAAGAGACTTCGGATTATATATATATATGTACACAATTTGAAGCAATTATCAAAGACTGGTGGGCTTCATGATATTTTCCGACAAAACCATCTACCTGGCATTAGATACTCCATGGGGTGAAAAAGTACTTTTTGCTCCCAAAACTGCCGCTATGTGCTTCAGGGATCTTAATCATAACTTCAAAACCCATTCAGTAATGCAAAATTTTACTCAAATATCTTTTTTTTGTTTTGTTTAAAAACCAAGTGGTGTATACATTCTCAAACATTTTATTCTACCTTCCCATTCATTAATATTAAATTAAATTAAATCTGATGCATGTCAATAAGAAAACTAAATGTCAAATGGCTGATTTTCAGGTCCTTTTACTATGGAATTACTGGTCCAATGACTCCTTCCAGGCATGCATCAACATGGAATTCTATACTGAACCAATTGGATGTCCTCAAATCCCCCTGCAGAATACTCTGAAAACCTCTGTTTGCCGGAGGACGTAAACAAAGACAGTATAAACCAAAGTAGGCTCAGAAATCTTAGAGATTGGAAGTATATGAGCTCCTGTTCCTTTTACCACATCATGGTATTAACCTGAAATACCCCCTAGCAGCCAGTGATTGAAACTGACACTGGGGGGTCAAAGGCACACAGTACTGAGGTGGGGACTAGAATTTATACCTGAATTTAGCCATGGACAATCCCTTCGGTCACAGATTTTCCTGATGATTTACTCCTTTGAAGTCAGGCTTAAGGCTAATGCTGAGGATTTAGAGGCTTAAACAAGATATGCATTTCCTGAGGGTTTTTTTCCCCAGATACAATCTTGTACATCAACATTATCAAATGGGTCAGCTGAGCTCCTTAGGGTGCTTTGCATGGCACAGGTCAATGCACAGGTAAAGAAGATACAATCCTGGTCCTGCAGGAATTCTCAATAGCCTTGTGGCATTTCTGACAGGGAATGGCTTAACGAAGTTCTTGCATGTATTTAATCGTGGCCCAATAAGAGGTAGCATATTCTTATTAGTGAGCCCATTCTCAAGAGATGAAGAGACATGATAATAATGAGAACAGATTGATGCTGACTTGGCTCAAGTCCCACTGCAAAATAATTTTTCATTGTCTCAGCCATTCCACCCAAGAGAAGGTTAAGAAGATAATTGGCATTGCTGTTAAGAGGGTAAGTGAATTTCCTTGTTTCATACTGTCAAACCTTCGAGAGAACTTAACTTGCGTTTTGACAATGGGGAGGAGAGCACGTTATAGAGCGAAGCGAACTTTTAGACGGTATCTTTAAAAAGTTACAAAAAGACACTGAGAAAGCTGAGGTTTCGATGAAGGCCTTCGGATTTACGTTAAAAACTGCCTCCAGCATTTCTGGAGCCTTTACCCCAGTCGACCTAAAAGGCAGGGCATCCTACAGCAAGCAAATCAGGGCACGCGCTCTGAATACATTTTTCCTTCCTCAGATTTCCTTTTCGAAAACCACACAGAATGGTCTCTGTCAAAGTGACTTGTGACATTGCTACCTTCCCTCCTTCAGCTCAAGTGCCGGCAAACTTTTCTGTAAAGAGTAGTCAGAGAGTAAATATTTTAGACTTTGCAGGCTCTCGGGTCTCTATCACAGGTACCCAATCCGGCAGTTGCCGTGAGAAAGGAGTCATAGACAATACATAAAGGAGTGGGCATGGCTGGGTTGAATAAAATTTTACTTAGAAACACTAAAGTTTGAATTTTGGATGATTTTCATGTGTTCTAAAATATCATTCTTCTTTTGATTGTGTCTCCATCATTTCAAAATGTGAGACTCATGCTTAGCTCAACAGGCTATGCAAAAACCGGCAGCAGCCTGGATTTGATTCCTGCTTTAGTTCAGAAACCTTCACTAGAGCTTTCTGGGATGGTGGAAAAGTTGTATATTCGCACTGCTCAACGCTGTGGACACCAGCTACACCGGACTATTGAAGTGTGGCTGTCGTGACACAAGAACTTAATTTTTAATATTATTTAATCTTAATTAATTTAAACTCGGATTGCCCTTTGTGGCTAGACAGAACCACTCCATCATCCTCTTTCATATGAACTTGAAAACAACATTCTTATCTCTTGCCTACATTAAAGAAACCCAGATTCTTCTACTTGCTGCTTAAGTTATACAGTTACTGCTACTTCTGGGGAGATCACAACTGATGTCTTGGTTTTAACTACACAGTAAACATGGGCAGACACACAGCATGTGCAAATTCATGTGCCCACATGAACAAAATGCAACTTTTCATTGGAACGCCATCACTACCAAATTCAGTGAACAAAAAATCATCGGAAGAAAACTGTGCCTGTCAATAAAGATCTTACCCTCTTATTCAATGTGTACTATGAAAACACAATATTGGACAATGAAAACTATTGAATCACATGAACTTAAACTTTTCTGCTGGTTTCCTCAATTATCTGTTTCAAAATCCTGTCCTTTCTGTTAGACGTAGCTTGCCATAATGAGCTTGCAAAACTCACCCCAAGGGATGTCATCTTCTAAAATATACAAGGTGGTCATTTCTAAGTAAATGACCATGCATGAATCTCAGGCCATCTCAAGTAAATTCTCAGACTATCTATGGGCAGCACCTCATGCTAATCTCACAGGACAAGGCTAGATTAATTGACCAGTAAAAGACAAAAAGCATACAATCACTAATACTTAAATGGTTTTGGTAACAAGCATCATTTAGCACACATATAAAGTCCTATTCATTAAAAACTAACTCATTTAAAAAGTATTCTTCATCTTGATTAAGACCATTTATGGTGAAACTTCTATCATTACTGGCAGGGGTGATCGAGTTAACTAAGGAAATTCAAAAGTGAGAAATCAGGGGGGGATAGTTGTCTATCCAATCAAAACAAAGCAAAATAATAGGGAAGAAATGTAAGTTCATGGTGTAAGAAAAAAAAAAAAAAAAAAAGATTTGCCCCTACAATCTTAATGCTGTGTTCAGAATAACCCCAGGCCAAGCTGCTCCTTGAAAATGCATCAAGTCTCCATCTGAGGCTTTTTCTTTCTCTTGCTATGTTCTGTTCCTTGGGAACCTCATTCACGCTCACACCTCCCTTCCACCTTTATATGTATATCTGTATGTGCATATAGGTCACAAATCTTTTATTCCCAGCTAACACTTCTCTCAACTCCAAATTGGTATACCTCACCATCTATAGGACTTCTCTCTTGGATGCCTCTAAAATATCTCAATCACGCCATGTCCAAGACTACCCTCATGGCTCTGTCTCGTCATTCTCAGTTTGGCTCTCTTCTGAAATTCCCTAGGCCAATGATAGGTGACAATATCCGCCCAGTTGCACAAACTCCATATCCAGGTAATTCTGTGACCCCTGCCTTTCCCTACACTCTACCACCAACCCAGCACCAAATCCTGCCTCTCACATCCTTCCACTTCTTTTTGTCTCCATTGTCACAAACCAAGTCCACACTACCAGGCTCTCTTGAATGCACTAATATAATAGCCCTAACTAATCTTTAGCATCCTGCTTGCCCTTTCTTTCCTTCAATTTGTTCTCTTCAATCAATAGAATTTTTTTCAAAATGTAAATTGGTTCAGATTACTACCCCCAACCACAGTTAAGTCTTATTAGGATAAAAACCAAAATTGATAATGTATGGGTTTCACCCCTGTCTACTTTTCTTTCCTCATTTTATATTTTCTTCTTTGCTTTCTGTGCACTATCTACCTTGGCCTTTCAGTTCCTTGAATATACCATGGTCCTTCCTACCACAGGGCCTTTGCATGCACTCTTTTTCCTCTCTAGAAATATTTCCCTCTATCCATACACCCCTCCTCACTCCACTGGACCCCACATCATTTACTTACTTAGTTCCTACTCAGCTTCAGCTTCCAATTCAAAAATTACTTGCTTTAAGAAGTCCTACCTGATCTTTACCCTTTGATACCTACCCCATCCAGACCAGTCTGGATTTTTCTGTAATAAATTTTCCAGGAACCATGTTCCTTTCCTTCAGAAAAGGTATCTCAGCTTATAGCTCCACACTCCTTTATGTGATCATTTGTTTTTCTATAAACCATGGTTTCCTCAGAACCTGGCATGGTGCTGACACATTAAATGCATTCAAGAAATGTTTGAATGGATAAATGTACAACAATGAAGATCTGGGGATAGTATAAGTATATGGAGGCATCTGGGGATGGGAAAGTATACAATGCCAACCTTCTATGAAGCCCAAGCTACTCCAGGGATATTTCTTCTCTATAGCTAGTTTTGACTTACAGACTCTGTGGCCCAACACCAACTAATATACGTGCTTTTATGGAGTGGGTGTTGTGTGTCGTTTACTAACTTACTCCTTCCTGCTTCCAAGTCACTTTTCTGTTTTTATTTTCCCCATATCTTATTTTCCCCATTTATTCTCTACTGATTTTATCTTTCTATTCTGCATGCACTATTGCCAGCTGTGTTCTGTCTTCTTGCAAACAAAGCTACGTTTAAATAAATAACAAAAAAATAAATAAATAACATTTATAATTATAATTATTAACCCCAATCCTTATTGTACTGTTAAAGCTCTGAAGTCCAAGTTGAGAACCAATCCCAGTGGCTCTGTGACAACCCGCAGTCAGTTGGTTACTGGACAGACAGCTGGACAAACCTCATTGTCTCACTATGATTATTTTTTTTCCCTTGGTGCTCCTTAGAGTTTTTATCACATGCTCTTTCTCAACCATTCCATGCTGTCTCTGAACTCCCCTGAATTTCTGGGCATGTAATAAAATTAAGATAAATGAAGCAGACGCAGAGTGTATTTAGACTCTAGCATCCAGTGAAAATAATGGACAGTGAGATCACATTTAAACCTGTGCTGCGGTGATTTTTCTAGGACAGGTAGCTGTCCTGGGGTTGGTGCTTGGTCTATCAACACTGTTTTCCAGGGTCTCCTCTCAGAGATATATTTGCATACATCTGACATTGATTCATGTAGCCAGATGGCAAAGGACAGAGCTGGGTCATTCCACACAAAGTGTGACCTACTTACAGGCCCAACAATCTGTGGTTTAAATCTAAATAAAAGCATTGAGTCTTTGAGTTAAAAAAATGCCTTTTTTTTTTTTTTTTTTTGGTTATGGTACCAGTGGCATGAACAGTCTGAATGCTGGATGCATCCGTTCCAACAAGCAAGATGATAAGATGCTAAACTGACTCCCCAAGGCTGGGTGATAAGGTGTGTGGTGGGTGTCACTGCCAACTCAGTAAGGTGCTGACAAAAGCCTTTGAGAGCCAGGAGTGAACATTTAGGCACCTATGGAACAAAATGTCAGCAGCAGACAATTGTGATGACCTTATGACTTGGTTGGAAGTGTCCCAGGGTGTTTTGAATGTGCGAAATCTTCAAGGGCCTACTGAACTAAGAGGTGGTAGAGACTAAATGCATCCCTATGGAAAAAGCCTTCCTGCTTTGAGCCTGTTCTCTGTTGAAAGAGGGTATGAATCAAAAGAATTAAGAACTGAATCAGAGCATCCCAATCCCACAGAAACAAAGATGCAATTAGGGCCTTTGCCCCCACATCAAGACATAATTGGTTTTAAATGGCCTTGTCCAAAACTGGCCACAGACATGTCAAAGCAAATATTAATATTTCAGTATGATATAAAACTGGGTAAAGTGTATATTAATCGATTAAGATGCTAATATAATACTGTATTAAGGAATAATATCATCTCTGTCCTCCCAAGTTCACGTCTTAATTTTATTGCAACACATCAAAGGTAGAACTATTGTTCCTTTAATCAGTCTTGGAATTCAGAAGTGTTTTCTCAACGGGGGCTTTCAATGCCATTTCTGAGGAAGATGTAGGACCATGTTTAAGAAATTTATCCAGCGGGTGCCTGGGTGGCTCAGATAGTTAAGCGTCTGCCTTTGGCTCAGGTCATGATCCCGGAGTCCTGGGATCGAGTTCCGCATCGGGCTTTCCGCTCAGCAGAGAGCCTGCTTCTCCCTCTGCCTCTCTCTCTCTCTGTCTCTTATGAATAAATAAATAAAATCTTTAAAAAAAATTTATCCAGCAACTCATGTTTTGCTGCCTTTTAATTTGCTTTCTGGTAGAAACTCTGACATTGGTGCAATGACTGGCTTTGCATCTTAAAGCTCTTTTTACCACTGATACTCTCATCCTTCAATCTGCATGCTGCCTGTAGGCATTGCTATAGAATTAGTTAAGAGAAAGGTCCAGAATCCCACTCCTACCTGTTTGGTAAATTGCAGTCCAAATTGCTCAGGTCTTGATTTTACTCTGACTTTTTAGGCCGCTGCTCCTGACAACTGGAGGCTAGCCAATTGAAATATGTTGACATTAATATCAATAATTGATACTAATGGATTCATATTCTTTTATCTTATTTCATACTTTTTCTTTTTTTTTACAGTCTTATTGACTATATTCTCTATGCTGTACTTTTCATCCCTGGGACTTAATTATTTTTTAACTGGAAGTAAATACCTCTTACTTCAGGATTGCTTGTAATTTTTTTCTTGCTTACTTTTGGATTACTTTTTCCAGCCTAATTTTTTTTCTCTCTGAAACATATTAAGTTATATACTGTTTTTATTCTCTTAGTAATACTAGACATTTCAATATTTATCACTGTCAAGGGTTCATCAATATCTTTACCCTCTTGCTGAACAACACAAATACTTAGGAGACTTCAATACCAATGACCTCTTCTTGAATGATACAGAATTGTTTTATATGTTAGTTCTAATTTAACCCCATAAGACATTATCAACATTCTATATAATCAGTGTTCAAGTAGAATGATCTACCTATTTATAATTTCTTTGGTCTTTGTTTAGACTTTCCATCTGGATTAATTCTTCCTCTGACTAGCGTTAAGGTTTATGATTTCCTTTAATGAAGATCTGCTGATGGTAAATACTCAGCCCTCCCTGGCCCTCACCCCCAACCCCCATCTCCTGTTATCCTGAGCTAGGCTGAAAATGTCTTTATTGCTGTCGCTTTTAAGTGATAGCTTTCTTTGAGTACAAAGCTCTAGACTGGCAAAGATTTTCTTTCAGCACATTGAAGATATTACCCCACTGTCTTCTTTCTTCCATTGTTACTGCTAAGAAACCAATCTTCTCAGAAAGTAATTGTCATTTCTCTAAAAGTAATTTCTCCTTAGCTGTTTTTCAGATATTTGTTTTGTCCTTGGTCTTCTGAAACCTCAGTATGATGTATCTAGATACGGAATTGTTAAAAAAATATATCTTGGGTGCCTGGGTGGCTCAGTTAGTTAAGCGACTGCCTTCGGCTCAGGTCATGATCCTGGAGTCCCTGGATCGAGTCCCGCATCGGGCTCCCTGCTCGGCAGGGAGTCTGCTTCTCCCTCTGACCTTCCTCCCTCTCATGCTCTCTGTCTCTCATTCTCTCTCTCTCAAATAAATAAATAAATAAAATCTTTAAAAAATATATATATATGTATCTTACTTGGGATTCCTGAATCTATGAATTTGTATTTCTCATCACTTCTAAAATACAATGTCTCCAAATATCCTCCTTTCCTCATTTTTGCTCACCTCTTCTCACGTTATCTATCCTGGTTCTTTATCTCTCTACCATATTTTTCATCTCGTTGACACTCTGTTATATTCTGAGTAATATTATAGGTCTCTTTTAAAATCTCCTAGGTCTCTCTCTATTGCTGGACTGCTGGAATTTTAAATGTATTTCATTTATAGAAAATCAATTTGTTTTCAAATATACTTCATCCCCTTTTCCAGTCAATTGCTTTTGACACATATTGTCAATTCTAAAAGCACTTGTTGAACATTCTGTATGTCATAATTCCAAAATATAGTCTTATATAAATATAGTAAAATATATAATAAAAATAATATAAGTATAGATAAATATAATAAAAGCACTTGTTTAACATTCTGAATGTCATAATTCCAAAATATAAAGTCTTATATAAATATAATAAATATAATATATAATATAAATAATATAAATATAAATAAATATAAGAATAGCACTTGTTTAACATTCTGAATGCCATAATTCCAAAATATAAAGTCATTCAGCTGTCTTTTGTTTCTGTAGGTTCTCATTCGTGGACTTTTTTTATGTTCATTTTGTAATTGCTTTGATGAACTGATCTTTCTTGGATTTTTTTTTTTTTTTTTTTAGAGAGAGAGAGAGTGCATGGGAAGAGGGGATAGGGGCAGAGGGAGAGGGAGAGAGAGAATCTTAAGCAGGCTCCACACTCAGCATGGAGCCTGACACAGGGCTTGATCTCATGACCCTGAGATCATGAACTGAGCCGAAATCAAGAGTTGGATGCTTAACTGAACGAACCACCCAGGCACCCCTGATATTTCTTGGAACTTTAACTGTAATAATAGCATAAGTTCTGATTTGTAGATAGGCTCCGTTACAGACAAATTGATTGATTATGCCAGGAGCCCAGAAGATTTCCAGGGTGGGACATGTTTAAACTAAATCCTGAGTGTGTCAGGTGATGTGAATCCAGGCTTCAAACCCACACAAGGGGTAGCTTGTGATCATGAATTCTCAGGGAGAATTTTTCCTCCTCTATTCAACATCAAGTTTTAAACCAACCATTTTCTTGCAATTCTTTGAGATGATGGGTTCATTTTTTTATTCATGCATGCTGTGAGGTAGTGTGGTCCTCTGCAATCCCAGGTTTATGGAGTGGGTCCCTTCTTAGACTCCTCATTTTGTCTTCATTTCCTGTTCTTCCACTACCCACACATCATGGAAAAAAAAACTCTAAGCTCAATGTCAACTTGACAGATAATTTCAAGGTGAAAAACAGCTTTACTGCTGTTGGCCTCTCTGGGTACCTGCTTTTACTTAGACTTCGTGCTTTGACCATTCCTTAATTTCTTTCCCATTCACTGATGCATTTAAACATATTTTAAAAGTTATACAGAGTTTTTATTTGTTTTTATTGGAAACTCAGGTCTCTCCAGTTTGCTTTTTTGATGTTTTCATAGCTTAGATCATCAGCGACAGATGTTGATTTTTATACAGCTGAGGGAAACAGGTGAATTTAGGATTGCTTCAGAATCACTGTAATTTTACTAAAAACCAATCAAGTTTGAAGGGCTCATTAACAGAAATGCCATGATATCTAGGACTCATAATGGCTTCTTTTAGCCTGAATTGGATTTTTTTAAAACCAGAAATAGAAAGAAAGAGGGTACTTGGAAGAAGTGGATCCAGATGAACGGTTAGAGAAAAGCTTAAATTTCAAACAATCTCCCATTTAAAACTAATTTTTAGCAGTAAGAGAGTCTTTTACATTAAAATGCAGAATATTTTTGATCATCCAGATAATATATACATTATTTCCAGAAACACATGCAAACATACAATACAGATAGCTAGAAAGCATCCCTTGACCACCTCCCCAAACCCAGCCTCCTCCCTCAACTTAACCACTGTTTAAAAGTTCAATGTGTATAAGTCTAGAACTTTCTATTTATTCTTATTCATATTTATACCTCTGCACATACACAGACATCAAGTTTGTTTTGCATTTTAGAAAAATATATAGGCGATCTGGTATTCTGCATGTCTGAACATGGTTTTGAGTTCTCTCTTGCTTAATAGATGTATCAATCCTCCATTAAATCTTTTCATAATTTTGAAGAGCTGACTTCCCTTTTTTCAAACCTCCAGAATTTCTGTAGAGAATCCTGATCCCATTCTGATTTTTAATTTATGACTGATAGTTTCCTTTCTGGATATATTTAAGCATTTGTCTTTGTTCTTGGTGTTCCAAAATTTCCCAGTGTTGGGCCTTACTGAGGACCTTTTCTTTCTTGTTTTTGGGCAATCACTTAGCTCTTCAGTCTGGTAACTAATGTTCTTCAGTTGTGAAAATGTCTCTTATCCGATCTCTTTGATAATCTGCTTTCCTCAGTTTTCTCTTTCTGGTGCCCCTCTTATTTGGGGGCCTGTCTGGGCACTTCGCTTCTCCCTTCTTTTTCTGCAAAATCAGTTATCTTCCTTCCATTTGCCTTCCACATTCTAATTATATATTGATCTCCTTTATACTATTATCACCTGTTTTGTATTCTTGGACTTTTTTTTCCCCTTAACTATCATCTTAGGAGAAACCATTTAAATACCACTTCAAGGAATCTGTCCAGTGGAAATGCACAAGACTCCTTAAGAGTATCAACACATAGGTTATATAAATACGTGTTACCTGTTTTATAGTTTCTGTTGTTTTCTATGATACATAATTATATTATTATACATAATGATATGTGTATATATATTAACTATATATGAGAGAGAGAGGGAGAAATGGTATTGTTGCGCTATAGAGGAAAATTTGTTGACTTTTAAAATTTAAATTGCATTTGGTGCATAATGAAATTCTTTTTTTTTACTCTATAAGTTTTTAATTGTCTTGTAATCAGCAGATAATTTTTAATCTTCAAGCCCGTATAGGTCTTATTTCTTTTTTGTATGTGTTGCATTGCAATTCACTGATACAGAATATGACTGGGGGAAGAGAGGAGCAGGGAGTGAGGTTGGGGGAACAAAAGAAGGAAGCTGGAGACTAGATTTCTGGCCTGGTCCTACCACTATCTGTAAGTGGACTTCTCTTAGCACCTTTTCACATCTGCTAAATGAAGGCATCAGTCCAGCTTATTTCAAAACCCTTTGCGTTTCTTACTGTCTATGTAATTTTCTAGAATTCTCCACCTTGGGTTTCTCAGGCTTAGCAGTAGCTTTTCCCCCATCTTTGGATGGTGATAAATTTAATGTACCCATGCTCATCAACACATTTTTGTGTGAATAATGGAAAGAGCAGAGCATGGCACTAGAGTCTGAACACAAGATGTTGTCACAAGTCCAGTGGAAAAGTCCTCTGTTAAGTCAGAAAGGATAAATCTGGGGAAATGCCATTCCTGGACACTGGAGGTAATGAAAGCGAAGCCCTCAAGTTTATGTAATCCATTTTTTCAATTATTATGCTTCCCTCCCGCTTTGATGGTGCATAAATTGATAGCAGCTGAAAAGGAATCAAGGCAGGAACACAAAGGAAAGTAGAGTGGAACAATGTGCTAGAGCAGAAATTACATTTACCGGACATCCGCACAACAGGCAAGGGAAGCATGTGACCTGAAATCAAAGGGGACTGGGTTTCTAGAATAATGGACATTTTACCTGGATAGCTAGTGTAGAGATAGCTGTGTGGCAAGACACGGTGAGGTGTGCTCGCTTTGGAATCTGTTTGCTGCTGATGTGGTAGAAGGATGTACGTAATAATATTTGCATGTGCTTTG